CCACACTGGGCCTAAGGGGCCAAATGTTTCTTCTCCCCCTTACTGCACAAGGCCTCAGGTGCGTCGCCACATCCTCCGATTTGCGTACAAAAGACAGGCGACCACGTCCAATATTATCAGCAGATTATCGACCAAAGAGCCAGCGTGGCACAGGAGACAGCGAGCTCAGAGAGGACAGGACAGAATGTTGGTCAGATTGTCAGCTGCCGTTCCTCGACTTCAGTCGCACCACAGCTCAGGCAGAGTTGTCAGCATGCCACCAGTGTCGAGCAAAACCTCAAGGTTCTGGGCGTGCAGAACATGTCGGAGGCTCAATCTTCCAAATACCAAATACTGTCGCGTCTGTCCCAAGCAGAGCGGCAGCGAGCAATCCAGTCAAGAAGAGGATGAGGAGGCAGAAGCTACAACGCGCCCATGGAGGACGCCAGCACGGCCCAGACAGTCTCAACAGCCTAAACAATGGTGGTTTGCGCAGGAATGGAGTGTACAGTCTACGCAGAAAGGCCGCCGTGCGCGTTCCGCAGCACCGACATGCAGCAGACAGTACGACAGTCGTTCCCAAGCTGATTGGCCAGATGATATGAAGCATACAGGTCAGTTGGCACCGGCTCCCCCGCACATGGCTGACAGACACAGGTTGTGGATCCCACTGCCGAGGGACGGCAGAGGAGATCTTCCTAAGCACAGAGACAAGATGAAAATGCAGCTAGATGCCATCGAAAAGCAAATCAAAGTGGCTTACAACCTGGGATACACTGAGGAGCGCATCAAGTCCTTGGAAGAAGACTACAGAGTTACTTTGTACCAAGTCACGTACGCCAGATCCCCAGCGTAACGTGCAAAGCAACAGGCCATGTACGTTGAACGTGCCAAAAAACGGTTGGAAGAAACACGCAAGGTAGAAGCTGACGCAGCATATTACCTGAAAGAATATCAGTTACAATCGGTTCATGTGAAAGAAGAGATGGAGCAGGCAGAACTATTGGCAAAACACTTCGGCGAGCTGGCCGCACATGTCCGTGCAGGTACTGAGGATTACGATGACGAGGATCAGACAATGGATCATGAAGATGACGATCAGACAGGCCAGCAGCGCATGGCTAGAGCAGTACGCCCACCGACAAGAAGGGCACAGCCAACGGCTGAGCACTCAGACCCGACGCCAGCAGCAGTGGCCGCCATGCAGGCTAACAACCGTACCATGCTGGAGACGCTCACGGCGCTCTCAACACAGACGAGTAGGATGCAGCAGTGCATGTTGCAAGCAGGTCTACTACAGCAGCAGCAGCAGCAGCAGCAGCCGCCGACAGCGACGGCACAGATGCTAGCAGCCAACCTCGCACCAGCAGCCTCGGCAGCTCAGGAGTCCAAGGCGGAGTTGGCTACGCCACAGCGCGGCGCCGCCATGGAGCAGCAGCGCGCGGCATCGCCTGCGCCATCGCAGGCCACAGCGGTGGAGGCCACAGCGACCCCCATCGACATCGCGGAGGGCGAGAGAGCCATCGCAGCGGCCGAGGCAGCGATTCGCAACAGAGCAGCCGCCCCCCCCCGGCGCCGAGGGCAACAGCCCCGTTGCGCGCAGGGCGGGAGAAGACGGTGCGCAAGGCGTCAAGCACAAGATTGACAAGGACAAGGACAAGAGCAGGCTGTCGGTTGCATTCGCCAGGGCGGCTCGCCCAGCGCAGCAGCACATCGACACCGTCGAGCTCGACAGCGACGATGAGCTCGCAGTCGCAGGGGACTGCTCGCTTTTTCGCTAACCAGCTCGTTTGCTGAGGAGACTCGTCTTCGAATGCAGTCTCCACCAATACCCAATTCAAGCTCGGACCGACAGCCAGTGTCTATCGAGTCTTCTCATGCAACGGGTCATGTGCCAGCGCGCACTAGTGCTGATACTACTGGGGTATGTGGTATCCGCGACTATCCCATTCCAGAATTTTCTAACACGGTTCACCTCCTTTGCCAACCTTGGGACTCTAGGGGTCTTGGGCTTTGTGACGACACGTTGCAGTTTGCCCAGTTTGGGCATTCAGCCACGATGCGGGGTCTGGCTGAATTGGGTCCCAAGGTCAACGACAAGGGTCACCGCATCCCTACCCGCTTGGATATATTTACAAATGGATATGCAGGGGGTCTAAAACCGCATGATTCTACCTTTCCCACACCACCATCCTGGGTGTTTTGTGTCATCGCTTTCGACGCACAGGGTCAATGGTTAGTAGGATTCCAAGCAGGGGACATACCTGACATGGCACAGTCTTTACCTAGAGAGTTGCTGTCTGCATACGCGGAGTTCGAGGCAGCAACTTGGGCAGCCGAGTGGCCACTAGCTTCGCCCTGGTTTCACCGAGCACACTACACTTTTACAGTGATAATATGGATGTTTTCAGAGTTGCACAGCTTGGAGGGGCGAAAGGGGTCATGCAGGTCTCAAAGACAATTCTGGATGGCATACTACAGATACTTGTACGGGTGTTGTAGAAATATGAATGGGCACACGTACCAGGTCATTCCAGTCACCCATGGAATGAGTTGGTGGACACAGCTGCGCGCATTGCATCATATGGCGCATATGATTACACACCATGCACGCTCTGGCGCACATCTCTTGAGCTGCCTCGACACATGCAAGCTATCCCATGGGCATGGCTTTCTGTGCCTGCGCCAGAGGACAGGAGTCAATATCCACCGCCTTTCGGCATACCGATTCCCCGAGCTCAACGACCAGTGGCCGAGCTCCAGGAATGCCTACCTGTGCCACCGGTACCCAAGCCCGTCCAGGACACCCAGGCATCTATGTGGATGGCTGCTGTCAACGCACTTACTATGGATCCCCAGGCCTACAAACAAGCGGGGATTCATACGGTTGGCACGTACCAAGGGCCTCCCACGGGCGGGTTTCAACAGCCGGGGACCCCATTCGCTGGATGTGACGATCTCTCGGCAGGTACCACGGAGACGGGGCTGCCGATCCCTAAAGCAGCCAGAGTCGGACAGCGCGTTTTTTTGCGCCAGCGACGCCGTCAGGGACTGACGGTTGCGCACTATGGATCAACGCTGCCGCCTAACACCGCAGATGTGCAGAGTACTACACCAGGAGCCGTCAAGATTGCTGGTGGCCATACGAGCTCCCCACATGAAATGCAACATCCCGGTCGCACATGCGCCAGGAGAAGGCAAGAATCGCACTGAGAACAGTCTTGCTCAATGGTGGGCCACTACGGAGAGAGTGGTTCGCATGCACAAGAGGGGCTCCGAATTACTACTCACATGTCTCGACGCGAACGCCAGGATGGGTTCAGTCACTTCCAACGCAGTTGGCTCAGTGGATGCTGAGGAACAGAATGCAGCAGGTGAATGCTTCCATGATTTCCTGCAAGCCACTGATCAATGGTTGCCGTCCATTTTCTTGCCTGCCTTTTCTCCTTCCGCCCACACTTGAAAGTCACCCTCGCCGGGCAGTCAGGGTCACAGACTGGACTACATTGCAACATCGGAATCAGCCTAGGTATCAGCGCACGGGGTCGACGAGCGCGTCGATCTCCTGGTCGCTCACGAAGACCACCACGCAATTTGTGCCAAAGTTCACTTCATCGGGCACTTGGAGGCTGCGAGGCCCATCCCAATATACAAAGTTGGGCACGATCCTGCCCTTTACACAGATCCTGACGCACAAGCGCATTTCATTGACATCTTGCGCAGTGCCCGAAGGCACATATCCAGATTCACGCCAATGACCAGGTTTTTCAGTACGATAACTTTGTACGTCAAGCAATGCAGGAGGCATTTCCACTCAGGAGCACGGACATGGGAAGACAGACCCGAAAATCATGGATCACCAAGCGCACGTTGCTTGCCATGGATTTTCGCACGATGGCCTTACGACAAGCAAGGAGAAATAGAGGATTAGCACAGTCAGCTACGCTTGCAGTATGTTTGTTCGCGTGGGCTCTGACGATCGATACACATAAAATCGCCAGGGCTGATGCCATCCTCTACCCGCCGAGGGATCCCCCGTTACACGTTCACGGGATATATCATGCTCTCAGAAGGCTTTGCAAGGCCGCCGGTCGTACGCAGCAGGACCTCATCACGTGTATTTCTGACACCACGGCCATACTGACCGAACGCGACAACGGGCCCGCTGAGACCCACCATCACAACAACTGTGTTAAGGACTCCAGAAAGACCTCCAAATGGGCCCCCCATAGAAAGCACCCTCACGGGTGCATGGTCTTGTTTGCGGATGACCAGGAGTTACTACCTACCACGGTCTATCGATGGGGTATGCCAAGAGTTGCCTCGCGCACTATACAACTACTGAGAGGGGCCTCCTTTGCCATCAGGGATCTTGGTGGCTCGCAAGGCATATCAGATACGAGTATGCACGCGTAGGGATGCTTTACTACACTACAGACGGCTTGCAGCGGACATCAAGTCCGAATGGTCGCCTCACCAACACGACAAAGTTTTTCGCAAGCTCAGAGAACTAGGTGCCTGCTCCAAGAAGAAAAGAACGCCGTGTCTGACGCCCATCGTCAAAGGAGTGAACGGACAGACTGCTCAGACCACCACAGAGGCCGCCAACATTTGGCTAGAGCACTTCGCACACGAAGAGCACAGTGCAGTCGTTCCTCTCGCGCAGGCACAGAATGTTTTGGACAATTTCACCGACCTCCCGGCCTCTCTCACGAGCAACATACCGTCGCAGGATGCCTCCCTTCCCCACCTCGTTCCTATCAGACAGCGTGCTGCACGGCAAGAAAATCCTTGGGTCGCCGCTGGAGGCGCCGCCACGGGGTCCCGACGCCGATCGAAGAAATCCGCGCGGTGCATGTTTAGCATGTTAGGCTGCTCCCCAGGGCCAGATGATGCAATTTTGAGAAGACCGAAGGAGGCAGACGTGACAGCACCACGTGGACGCCGGCTGCTCGAGGCTTCGACAGAGCACCCGCTCCCCCCTTGCTTGTGCTTCGAAGTCCTCCCCCTCCCCGCCGCCCCTGGGCCTGCCAGAGCGGGCGGCCGGTGCCGCAGCCCTCCGAGTACATCGGGAAGTCGTGCCACATGCCCGGGAACATCTCGAGGTGGGCCTCCACGCCGTGCCGCGAGGCCTTCGTGGCGAACACCACGCTGTCCCCAGCGATCAGCTCGGTCTCGCTCACCTCGGGAGAAGGCATGGGAAAAAACATGCACTTTCGAAGCTCCGCGCGGACCTCTAGGATTATGCCGGGCGCGTCCCCCTGCAGGGGGATTCTCGACGAAACATAGAACAACACCCCCAAAATACCCCAAAAAGGTCGAAAAGGACACCACAAACAGTCCCCAGACTATTCTTGGACTATCTTTTGATTATCTTGGGGGTCTTTTTTATTTTTCGTCGACAATCCCCCTGTACGTAGGGGAACGGGCCCGACTTAGTTCTGGGATCGGCGCGCCGGGCCCTCCCTGCCGGCGCCTCGCCGGCGCCGCCCCCTGGCGCGCTCCGCGCCCTGGGGAGGGGGCCCGGCGCGAACGAACGCACGAACGAACGAACTGCTCCTCCCCCTCCCCCTCCTCCTCCTCCTCCTCCTCCGCCTCCTCCTCCTCCTCCTCCGAGCGCACGAACGAACGAACTCTCGGATCTGCTCGGGAGAGAGGTCCAAGAGGAGCTCGCTCGCGCAGATCCGAGAGGTCCGGATCTCTCGGCGACTCTCAGAGCTCGCTCGCGCAGAGCCGAGAGGTCCGGCGCAGATCCCCGAGGAGGTCCGCGCGAGCCCGAGAGGTCCAGCGCGAGCGAACGAACGAACGAACTGCCCTACGCCGGAGCGCGTGGGCAGAAGACGGTGCCGGCCCGAACTCGCCGCCTTTTTGAAGGGGCCCCAGGACACACCAGCAAATACACGCAGATAAAAGGATTCCCCATGTTTTCCAATAGTTTCTGGGTTTCTGTCTTCCCCGCCACTTCCCATATTTTCCCACATTTTCCGGGGAGGCGACGATGAATTGTGTCTGTGTGTTTCTTCCTCTCCTGAGCTTTGCGGGAGCGACTGCACGTCGGCTGGCTCATGATGCACAGCGTGCGCGAGTGTCTGCACGGACGAGATGGGCACGGAAAGAATGGGTACGATGCCCAACGGCAGCTCCTGTTCATTTTGGACCAGGACTCGCTGTCCGCGCCGCCGTGGCCTGTGTCCATCTGAAACAGAAGGCCGCCTGCCCAACAGCGGCCGCTGTTGGTTTGGGACAGCATTTGTTGTTGGGCATCGTACCCATTTTTGTCCGTAACCATTTCGGGCGTCCAGAGATTGGAGGAGGAGCAGCAGCAGCAGCGCGGATCCAAGCAATTCGCGCGGCCCTCCCCTCGCTGATGCTCGTGCCGTTTTCCGCCCCGCGATCGCCACAACGTACATGGGCGCCGAGGCCTCCCCGAACTCGGCCTCGCCGGCGAAGAAGGGAGAGGCCACCGGGTCCGTGAGCATCGCCTCGTCGCGCGCCACGTAGCCGACCGCCACGTCCCTGTAGATCCTCTTGGGACGCCCGAAATGGGTACAGGGCAGGATTTGATACATTGCATTTTTTTATATAGGATTTGAATACATGATCGATGTAGGAATTCATCAATGCATAAGTTCATCGTTGTTTTCAATACCAAATCCCTGCATTTTCAATACATGATCCGCACGCGGAGCATGTATTAAAAACGGCACTGTACGGAAAAATGGGCACGATGTCCAAAACCGACGGCGGCCGCTGTTTGGCAGGTGGCCTTCTGCCTCAAATGAGCAGCCTCAGACGACGACGCCCGACCCTGTTCAAACTGGGCTGGGACTGCTGTCGGTCTTCGATCGTTCCGATCGTTCCGATCCTTTGGAGTCCCGAAACGGTGCGGTGACGCACCGTGCGGTGACCTCGAAATCCCCCAGGACCTCACCGCACGGTGCGTCACCGCACGGTCTTGGGACCCTGGAGGCCCCTGTCGCCCGAGACATCCTCGGAGAGGGCCTCGAGTCCCAAAACCGTGCGGTGACCCCGAATCCCCACCGACTCACCGCACGGTGTGGTCACCACACCGTTTGGGGGCCCCCGAGATCCTCGAGTTCTGGACCGGCGTGCCCGGGAAGATGATGTCCCCCGTGTACGCCTGGAGGCCGCTGCCGCCCGCGCCGAGGGGCCGCCTGTGGCGCGAGGCGGGGATTTATCCATATCCACCGCCTGGCAACCGACGTCCTCGTGCCCCAGCGGGCGGTGGATATATATATATATATATATATATATATATATTCTCATACGCACCTCTCCGAGGGAGTAGAGCTCAGAGGCGATTAATGCGTCCGTCGTTCGCGATTTTTCTGGCCGTTTCGCTCGGGACATCCTCGAAATTCTGAAAATCGGTGGCACCCCTCACGCAGATCGTGACGTCAGGGTCCAAAAACACATAGGATTTCCAACATGTTATCATAAAACCTTCAAAAACACATGGTAATTTCAATGATTTTGACTCCGATTCTCAGAGAATGGCAGTTTCGCCTGAGACATCCTCCCAAAATCGAGCCCCAGACCCCTCCTCGGAGCCTCCTGGGGGCCTCCTGGAACCTCCTGGGGCCTCCTGGGGCTTTCTGGACCTTCTGGTACCCCAGACCCCGCCTCGGAGCCTCCTGGAGTTCTCCTGGGCCTGCTGAGGCCGCCTGGGGCCTCCTGGGGCCTCCTGGGGCTTCAGAACTACATGCACACACAGAGACACAAATCACGCCCAACACATCACACGCTAGACAAACATAACATACACACACACACACCGACAACACGCAAAAAGCACGCACCACACAAAGCACACATCACACACACACACACTCACAATCCTGGGGCCTCCTGGAGCCTCTCCTGGTATCCAAGTCGGGCCTCCTGAGGCTTCCTGGGGGGCCCTGGTACACACATCGCAAGGTGTGGCAACCCCACTTGCGCTCGAGTGCGACTTCGCTGTTGCATGTCACTCCTGCTTCAAACGCCCCTTCAGCTTGTTGTATGAGCCTGGGCACACACGTGCCACTTGTATATATATATATATATATATATATATATATTATCATACGCACCTCTCCGAGGGAGTAGAGCTCAGAGGCGATTAATGCGCACGCGTCCGCGATTTTTCTGGGCGTTCCGCTCGGGACATCCTCGAAATTCTGAAAATCGGTGGCACCCCTCACGCAGATCGTGACGTCAGGGTCCAAAAACACATGGGAACTTCATCATGTTAACATAAAACCTTCAAAAACACATGGTAATTTCAATAATTGTGACCCCGATTCTCAGGGAATGGCGGTTTCGCTTTAAAAATCCTTTCAAAATCGAGCCCCAGACCCCGCCTCGGAGCCTCCTGGGGGCCTCCTGGAACCTCCTGGGGCCTCCTGGGGCTTTCTGAACCTTCTGGCACCCCAGACCCCGCCTCGGAGCCTCCTGGGGGTGTCCTGAAACCTCCTGGGGCCTCCTGGGGCCTCCTGCGGCCTCCTGGAGCCTCTTGGGGCCTCCTGAAGCCTCCTGGGGTCTCCTGGGGCCTCCTGAGGCCGCCTGGGGCCTCCTGGGGCCTCCTGGGGCTTCAGAACTACATGCACACAGAGACACAAATCACGCCCAACACATCACACGCTAGACAAACATAACACACACACACACACACACACACACACAACACCTACAACACACAAAAAGCACGCACCACACAAAGCATACATCACACACACACACACACACACACGCACAACACTCACAATCCTGGGGCCTCCTGGAGCCTCTTCTGGTATCCAAGTCGGGCCTCCTGAGGCTTCCTGGGGGGCCCTGGTACACACATCGCAAGGTGTGGCAACCCCACTTGCGCTCGAGTGCGACTTCGATGTTGCATTTCACTCCTGCTTCAAACGCCCCTTCAGTTTTTTGTATGAGCCTGGGCACACACGTACATACATACATACATACATACATACATACATACATACATACATACATACATACATACATACATACGTACA